AAGCCTGGACCTTTTGATTCACAGTGCACTTTGCCGTACTGCCTGTATAGTTCCAGCCTTCCCTCTCCTCTCCAAATCTGTATGAGTTTTTGGTTCTGTGTTGTGGAGTTGCCTTTTTTTTTTTTTTTTGCCATTTTCAAGTTGTAACGTTCTTGAACAATGAAAATGTAATTTACTTTTGTCTATGACTGAGTTAGTTTTTTTCATGAATACTCATTTGTTGATTATTAGGGGAAAAATAGAAATGTTCAGTTGGTTTTAAAGTTTAGCTCAATCAGTAATTGGCTTTTTTGGCTAATGTTTATTTTGTACAAATACGTCTTGGTTCTTCGATAACTTCCCCCTGGTTCTCTGCTGCAGTAATAAAGTGGGTACAACCCACTCCCCAACACTCTCTGGTCCTTTTAGGTCTCATATACATCTTAAATCAGTGGCTCTCAAGCGTTTTGTTCTCAGGATTCCATTACACTTTTAAAAATTATTAATCCCACATGCTCAGTGAAATAAACCAGAAAGAAAAAGAAAAATATCAGATGGTCTCACTTATAGGAGGAATGTAGAGGATCCAAATAAGGGATCAAGAAAAAAAAAAAAGTAACTATAATAAAGTAAAAATCAAAATCAACAGGCAACTATAAACCGGAGACATTCTGCAGGGGGGAGAGGAAGGAGTAGGATCAAAACAGGAGTGGGAAGAGCACAAGGGACCATGGTGATGGTTCACAAGTTAATGGGTGGTGGGAATTTCACAGGAACTATAACCGGGATGAAAATGCATACATGGTACAAAAATGAAAAATGATGTAAAAATATATAAAATAATAATTGACAAAATCTTTACTTTGGATAACAAAAAAAAAAAAAATAAAAGTTACTGATCCCAAAGAGCTTTACATTTCAGAGTTTTCCTTTTTTGTGTTATAGCTGTTTATCAGTGATTATTATAAATACAGTGAGAATTAGAAGTTAAAATGGAGACTTTAAACATATTTATTTGATAACAAAAATAAACCCATTATGTACGTTAAACACAAACTTTTTCATTGAAAGTTACTATTTTCTTTTTTTTAAATTTTATTTTTATATTCCCTATACAATTGCAACCCCCTTATTTTAACCCCAATCCCTCCTTTCCCCGCCCACCCCCCATAGTATGTCTCTGGTTCATAGTTGTTTGTTCATTTTTATATTTTCTTTCTTATAGTTATTCTTTTTCTTTTTCTTATAGCTATTCTTATTCCCTTACTTAGGTTTTCTAGACTTCTGCTATGACTGAGACCATCCGGTATTTTTCTTTTTCATTCTGGCTTATTTCGCTGAGCATGATCCCTTCCAGCGCCATCCATGTTGCTGCAAATTGCATGTGTTTATCGTTTTTGAATGCTGAGTAATATTCCATGGTGTATATGGACCACATCTTCTTGATCCAGTCATCTATTTTTGGGCATTTGGGTTGTTTCCAAAGCTTAGCTGTTGTAAATAGTGCTGCTATAAACATAGGGATGCAGGTGCTCTTTGGAATTGATGTTTCTGTGTCCTTTGGGTAAATGCCTAGGAGTGGAATTGCTATATCATATGGAAGTTCTATCTTTATTAGGTTGAGGAATCTCCACACAGCTTTCCATAGTGGTTGGACCAGTTTGCACTCCCACCAGCAATTCAGGAGAGTTCCTTTTTCTCCACATCCTTGCCAACATTTGTTGTTGCTAGTTTTTTAATATGTGCCATTCTCACTGGTGTAAGATGGTATCTCATTGTAGTTTTGATTTGCATTTCCCTGATTGCAAGTGATGTTGAACATTTTTTCATATGCCTGTTGGCCATTTGTATTTCCTATTTGGAGAAGTTTCTTTTTAGCTCTTCTGCCCATTTTTTGACTGGATTATTTTCTTTGTTTTTGTTGAGTCTTGTGAGCTCTTTGTAGATTTTTGTGATGAGTCCTTTATCATTAGTGTTGTGTGCAAAAATTTTCTCCCAGTCGTTGGGGTTTCTCTTTGTTTTGGTTATTGTCTCTTTTGCTGTGTAGAAGCTATTTAATTTAATGGAGTCCCAGCTGTTTATCTTTGCCTTCACTATCACTGCTTTGGGCGATGTGTCTGTAAAGATGTCTTTGAGGTGCACGTCATGTAGAGTTTCGCCTATATTTCCTTCTATATATTTTATGGTGTCAGGTTTTATGTCTAGTTCTTTAATCTATTTTGAGTTGGTTTTTGTGCATCGGGTGAAGTAGTAGTCAAGTTTCATTCTTTTGCATGTAGCGACCCAGTTTTCCCAGCACCATTTATTGAACAAACTTTCTTTGCTCCAGTGCATATTCTTTGCTCCTTTGTCAAAGATTAGTTGACCATAAATCTGTGGGTTTATTTCTGGGTTTTCTATTCAGTTCCATTGGTCCATGTATCTATTCTGGTTCCAATACCATGCAGTTTTGATTATTATGGCTTTGTAGTATAGTTTGAAATCTGGGAGAGTGATGCCTCCATTCCCTTCTTTTTTTTTTTTTTTTTCAGGGAAAGTTACTATTTTCTAAAACAAAAATAATAGTGAGAAAATCAAATTAAAATTTTTCAGTATATAGGATACAGACAAACTTAAGAGAGAAAAAGCTGTTTTATTGTGATCATGAAGTTAGTGCTTAAATTCATAGTAAATTATTTTAAAGTATTCTGAAGTTTCTATGTTATAAGAAGGAAAAAAACCCCATAAAAATGGCATTTTGAATTGTCTTCAAAAGAATATGATGAGGGACACAATCAACAGTAGAACACCAAAAGCATGATGAGTGTTTACTTTTATTCTCAGATACTTTGTTTTTAAAGTCAAACTTATGGGTAAATGCCTTGGAAGACTGTCTTTTTATTTCAGAAGGCTCTTCCCTCCTCTGCACCATAAACAATGTCCTGAAACTTGTGTTCAGTTTTGCTTTTCTTCTGCTTAAAAAAAGTAGTACTGCATCTGCTTGTATTCTTAAGAAAGTCTTTGAACTTTATAGAAATCTTATCTATGTATCTATTTACATAAGTATATACATATATGTATATACATATACATATACAAACTATTTGGATTTACTTTTTTCACTTAATATTACATTGCAAAGATTCATTTGGATTGTTGTGTGTCTTAGCTATTTATTACTGTGTAATAAATTACCTCCAAATTTAGTAGCCTGAAACAGCACACACTCATTATTTCATAGTTTCAGTGGGTCAGGAATCAGGACAGTAGTTAGCTAGGTCTACTTCAGAGTTTCTCAGGAGCCTGCAATTAAGGTGTTGCCTAGGGCCATGGTCATCCCAAGGTTCATCTGAGGCAGATCCAACTTCCATGCTCACTGGGTGTTTGTTGCCAGAATAAAGCTCTTTATGGGCTATTGGACCGAAGGCCTTGATTCCTTACTATTGGCCAGAGGTTGCCCTCCGTTCCTTGAAAAGTGACCCTCTATGTCACACCATGTGAGAAGAGACAAAAAGAATACTAGCAAGACAAATGCCATAGTCTGTTGTAAGCAAATTATGGAAGTGATATCTTAATTACTGTCTCTGTATTCTCTCATTAGAAAAAAGTCACCATGTCTAGCCAGCATTCCAGGGAGAGAATTACACGAGGTAGGTGAGGGACATTGGAAGCCTTGTCAGAACCTGTTTACCACATGGTGTAGCATAGTAATTTATTCATTTTAACCACTATATACTATTGTTTGGTGAATATACTGTAGTTTATGCTCTTCTTCATGGACATTAGTTCTTCCTTGCCCCAAGGATTTTTGCTGTTAAGAACAGTGATGCTACAAGCTGTTTTTGCACATAGGAGTGAAATGTGCTGCCTTTCTCTAAATAATTATCTCTATTTATTTTTTGCTGGTGTATAGTGTACTTTAGTGATGGTACATGACAAAACAGGGCTCCCTAAGACCCTCCCCTTCGCCAGGGGTTCTGAGATGGAACTGTGATAAGTCAGGAGATTCTCAGTACCTCTCGCCTCTTGCACTCTCACAGGGGAGGGATTGTGTTCCAGAGGGCTCTTACTCCTTGGAGACCCCTGTAACCAAATTCATTGTCATAACAGGAAATGAGCTTGACAAGCTGGTCATTGAGAGAAATGACAGCCCCAGCATTTTAAGTAGATAAGTGGGTGTCACTGTTAAAATTGCAGGGCACAGGGCCTCCCTGGTGGTGCAGTGGTTGAGCGCTGGGTTGCGAAGCTGCCTGCAGCCTCTGCAGCACCAGTTTGATCCCTGGCCGCTGGGCGAGGGTCCCACATGGCACGCAGACCTCTCCTGCTGCCGCCTGCTGCTCCCCTCGGCAGTGTACTTCGTCACTCTTCCTGTTCTGCTCTCCTCTCTGGCTCTGGTGAATTCTCTCGCCCTCCCGCGCTTCTGACTGTACCCAGTGCTTGTATAAATAAATAAATAAATCTTTTAAAAAAAAATTGCAGGGCACAACCTGGCTCTCAGTGTAGCCCAAGATGCCCTTGAGGGGGCCCTGTGACACCTGCTTTACCACTTTTTTAATGTCATTGAATTTGGCAACTTTCTTCAGGCAGCAGGTCAAATCTACAACTGACATGTGGGAAGTGGGGACACGAAGACCGTGCCACTTAACTTCCCGCTCAGCTCAGAGATGACCTTGCCCACAGCGTTGGTGGTGCCTGTAGATGTGGGAATGATGTTCTGGCCAGCCCCTTGGCCATTGTACTACAGCTTCCCATGTTCTAGGTGGCAGCATGGCATGGACCCTGGTCATGAGTCCCTTCATGATGCCAAAGTTGTCATGGATGACCTTGGCCTGGGGATCCAAGCAGTTGGTGGTGCAGGAGACATTGCTGACACTCTTGAGGGAGTTGTTGTACCTCTTGTGGGTCACACCTGTCACAAACATGGGGGCATCGGTTGAGGGGGCAGAGATGATGACCCTTTTGATCCCACCCTTCAAGTGAGCCCTGTCCTTCTCTAAGGTAGTGGAGAACCAGTGGCTCCACAACAGGTTAGCACCAACATCACCCTATTTGATCTTGGTGGGATCTTAGCTACTGGAAGACGGACATGGACTTTCCCTTGATGACAAGTTTCCTATTCTTTCCCTTGACTGTGCCATTGAACGTGCCATAGGCAGAATCATACTGGATCTTGTAGACCATGTAGTTGAGGTCAGTGAAGGGGTCAATGATGGCAACAATATCCACTTTGCCAGATTTAAAAGCAGCCATGGTGACCAGGCACCCAATCCAACCGCATCTGTTCACTCTGACCTTCACCATGGTGTCTGAGAGCCATGCTGGCGCTGCACAAAAAGAGGTGGCTCTCTGTAGAATTGGAGGAACAGAGAGAGCCATCATTCTCACTTTGATATTCTTCCAGAGTGAGCACTAGTAAGACTTCCCTAATTAATTCTACTTAAAATTAATGTTGTCCCTTTTCAACTGCCTTATACTAAATCTCATCACCTTTTACTATACTTATTTTGTACATACCATATTTTCTCCTGTGAAATAGTAAGTTGTTGAGAGCAGGAGGTAAATTTGATTCTTTGTTATTTATATAACCACCAACAAGGGCACTTAGTGTATTAATAAGCTTCCAGTAAGAATTATTGATTGAATGAATTCTGTTAAAATGCCAGTGCCGCATTTTTAAGGTGCTAATCTGATTGCAGTGCTCTAACTGTGTTTCTCACTTCTCCCCAAAATGACTCTTGTTGAAGCAGGTGAGTCTCTTTAGCATTTTCTTTCAATGTTTTCCTTTGAATTTAGCCTCCATGGATCCCCTCCTTTGTCCCTATTGAGTTACAGTTTGTATCACAATTCAGCATTTTAATATATATTCAGACAGTATATTGCCTTATGATGGTGCACAGTAAACTTTACTCAGTAAGTGAATGTACTATCTTATCTTTTTTTTAAAGATTTATTTATTTATGCATACAAGAGCTGGGGTACAGGCCAGAGATGCGGGGGGGGGGGGTGAGAGGATCCACCAGAGACAGAGCGGGGAACAGAACAGGCAGACTGACTAAAATACATTGCTGAGGAGAGCAGCAGGTGAGACAGGAGAGGTCTGCCTCGCCATGTAGATTTCTCCCTGGCCGGCTGGGGATTGTGCTGCAGAGGCTGTGGATTGCTTCATAGTGCGGTGATTAACCCATTGCACCACCAGGGAGGTCCTACTATCTTATCTTATAATGATTTTCAACCAGGTAGGTGTTTTTAGCCCAATAATAATTTAGCCCAATAAATATTGATTTGTTTTGAGTAGATGTCTATATATTCTTTGGTCTCAGGTATTTTTTGGAATTAATGGAGTCGGAAGGACCCCCAGAGTTAGAGAATTCAGAAAAACCAGTATTTTTACCACAAGAGGAAGGAGAAGTTAATGAAGAAAATGAAGGAGACAAAGAAGCAGAGGATGTAAGCACAGTTAATCCCCTCTTACAGCCTGCTCTCACAGGGGATGTGGAAGGTCTGCAGAAGATTTTGGATGATCCTGAGAACCCTCATCATGAACAAGCCATGCAGTTACTTTTGGAAGAAGACATCGTTGGGAGAAATTTATTGTATGCAGCTTGCATGGCTGGGCAAAGTGATGTGATTAGAGCTTTGGCAAAATATGGCGTGAATCTGAATGAAAAAACTGCCAGAGGTATTTTGTCTTTTTTCTCTTGTCAGTATTACTATCTAAAGATACTGTGTACTGTCTTTAAAGGTAGGTAAATTTGTTATGCCTACTTAGATTGCATATATTAAATATGCACACACATATATGTCAACATATGTGTGTGTACATGTTGATATAGAATGGTATAGTGGTTAAGAACGTAGACTTCACTATTCATTAGCTGTGTGACTTGGGAAAGTTACTTAATCTTTTTGTGTCTCTTTTTCTTCATCTGCCAATGCCTTCCTCTGCAGGTGTGACCAAGATACCTTGCTGCTAGCAATTGGCTGCCTTGTGCTCAGATCTTATCACCAGGCAGTACTGGATGTATTCATCAGGGGAGACATCAGACCTAGGAGGCATCTTTAGACTTGTCAAAATATTGTCCACGTCAAAATTCAAATTCTTATTCTTTACAACCTCCCAATAGATATAAAAGCCCTTCCCAGACTTTTGACCTAGGAAGCTCTTGGACACCATCTATTTCAGCAATTCTAGGCTAACACCTTCAAACCACTCCTCAAAGGCTTTACCTAGATCTTCTGTTACGTGTTTTGCTACATCTATACCAACTTTACCGACTAGCATGGCAGCAGCTACAGGAGAGCCAAAGCTTGCGGTCAGGGTTTCCAGGTTCTTGGGTTTAACTCCTTTCTGGAGAATTCTGATGACTTCAGACATCACGGGTACAAGACACCTGTTGGTGTAGAAGCCCGGTCCATCCTTTACCACAATGGTGATCTTCCACTGCTTGAAACCAGCTGTTACAGGAGAACTGTAACTGGAAGTCCAGAGCTTGGGCTGCCTCTCACCACCACATGCCAATAAAGCAGAGACAGGAGTTAAATCTTTAAGGTGCACTTTACTCATACAGCTGGCAATCTGGAAGACCCTAAAGAAACAACATTTCATTTCCAGCTGTCTTTTTATAGTGAGTTAAACAAAACTGTTGTTCAGAAGTAAGCAGACCCTCAAGGCTTCCAGGAGCTCATGATGTCCAGCCCTGGCGCCCCTGTCACTCTCCTGGACATCTGCTCTCAAGTGCATCTCAGTGTTCTGACTCTGGTCTTCTGATAGTACTGGTTCGCAGCACTCCTCCAGATGTGTCCTTGGGCTGGAAAATCATCTCAGAGTAGACAGGCCATGCAATCAATGTGTATGGACAGATTTCTTACTTTACCATGAGTAGTAACTTTTCCAATCCTTTCCTCCCACCATCCCCTATCAGAACCAGTGTGTCCTTAGGAGTTTTGTCAATTATGGTAATCTCCAGCAGCTGTATCTTATCCAGAGGAGAGAAGTAGTATATGCCAGTTACCTTCTCAGGTCTTCTGCTGCCAGGAGCAATTACATTGATTGGGAGAGCAGATGTGTTATTGGCAAGGACATAATGATGTGGAATCGTATCTATTTCAGTAAGCAATTTGTGCTTAAGATGAAGGTTCTCAAAAAGAGCTTCAGTTACCCTGTTGGCATTTTGAAAATCCTGGTAATCAAGCTGCCCAGTCAAGTTGCTGAAAATGGAGATCCTTTCAAATGATGTCAGCATTTTCTCCTTCACTTCATAGTTCAATGCTTAGACACTTGTTGCTGTCCATGGCCCAGTGGGGTAGGGTAGCATCATTAAATATAGTCTTTAGACCCTTATCCATGGAGACTTGGGCAATGCCCAAGGTACAGGATGAAGGCCTTTGGTCTGTTTTTGCACTGTTTCTTCCACCTTTTTGTTGCCTGCCAAATGGAATACTCTGGTGTATATAAATTTTTCTACCAACCCTTCTCTCTTTTATCAGCTAATCTTTTTTTTTTTGTGGGACCCTCTCCGGTGGCCAGGAACGAACCAGCGCTGCAGAGACTGCGGGCAGCCTCATAGCCCACAGCTTAACTGCTGCACCACCAGGGAAAGTCCTTATCAGCTAATCTTTTGGTAAAAGTAATTGCCACTTCTTGTAGGTATGCAATGGCCCATTTATCTGCAGGTTTTAATCTTGGTTCCAGGGGTCCATCATTTTGTGGACTAATCCCATTTTCTTTGCTCTGTTTACAAGCAGCAGGCAAGCCCACTATATTGGGTAGCCTTTGTGTGCCTCCTGCTCCTGGTAAGACTGCCAGCAAGACTTTAGGAGCACCCAATACTGTTTTTCTATCTTTTGTTGTTATTCTGTATTGGCCTGAAATGGCAAGTTCAAGTCCTCCTCCCAAGCAGGATCCACCACTGGCAGCCACAGAGGCTTTCTGGACTTTTCAAATTTTTCAGATATCCTCTATTCTTCCTCTGATATTTGCATTACTTTTTGAGTGGTCTTGCAGGTTAACATGTTGATATCAACACCTGCAAGAAAGCAGCCTACCTTTGATAAGGATAGCATTGCTGATTTGATCCTTAGCCCAGATTTCATCTGTATATCTACAAATTCTGACTTTATTCATTCATTACTTCTGCTTAGTTATTGCGTCTATGAACTCTGACCAAACATGCTGGCTTTACTCAATGCATTTACCTTTGAATTGGGTGAGTTAAGTTGAATAACTGCTGCATCCCCTTTGACTCCACAGGTAATATGGGTTCTGATTGGCAAAGTAGAGAACCCTTGTAAAGTTGTGGCAAATGTAACCTGGGCAGTGAAGCATCCTGGAAGCAGTGAAGTGGCTGAGGCTGCTTATTACCTGAGAAGCCACCATCTTGAGGAGGAGGACAAAAGTGGGCTGGTCATCTTATTTATATCCATTAACTTGGCAATTATTACGCATTGTAAAATAATGAATTACATGGAAGTTTAATAGTTGATTTCTTGATTGGTTGGTATGATTCTGTACATAATAGTTTTTTCACTTGAGAAACTAGATCAAATCAGGTTTTTGAGAACATTTCAATTCTGTCTTCATAAATCTTAATTATACCATCAGTAACTACTTCATAGGATTATTGTGAGAATTAAATGACTTGATACTTATGAAACACATAGAATAGAATAGTGCCTGTGTGCCGGAAAAGATTCTTTTTCTTCTTTTCTGATTTTTGCTTTACTATGAAGCTGCTCAATTGAGTCTCTCTGTATTTAATCACCAGTAACCTTCCACAAAGAGGTTTTTTTTTTTTTTTTTTTTTTTTTTAATTCACTAAGAATCAACCTCAGGTCTTCCCAGTTTCAGTTATGAGTCCTGTCTTCTGATGGGATTCCCAGCACATAGCTGTATCTTCCTTTTGGGATAATTGCCAGTCTTATGAGGAAAGCTCAGAAAAATTCCCTTCTTGTCTGCCTGCTTTTGAGATCATCTTTAAATGTTTTCCTTTTTCTGTGGTGGTTATGGGGTTAATATACTACAAAGATCTGTGTGTCTCTCTCTAGAAGACAAACCATCTCTAGCAAAGGGGAAAAAACTGGTAAAGGTTGCAAATTACTTGATAAAAACCTTTTTCTGTTTAGGAAACTTATTTTCTTATTTTTAGGCTTTGTGTTAAAAAAGAGAAAAGTACTTCTTTCGTGTCTCGCATAAATTAAGAGCATTGTGATTAGATATTAACAGTGGCCTGTGATTTCAGCCTTAAGAGCAATATAGGGAGCTGGAACTTCTCATTTGGAATGGCCTCCTGGTCTATAGATGTGTCCCTTTTCCCCAGCAAATCAGGGGCTCTGGACAATTTGACTGATTAAAGACTTCCATCTTCAGGCAGAAGGCAGGAATAATGAGGGTGCTATCTGGGCATTTCTCAGCAACCCCCTGCCCCCACCCCACTTTGTAAGCCATAAAGGGCACAATAAAATTCTTGGGCCAGTCTGTATCTCTGTATTTTGAAATTTCTCTCTGTGATATTACCAGGAAAATAATTGGGGAAAAAAAAAGAGGAAAAGCTTGGGCCAAAGAGGGAGGTAATTCCAATTTTGGCTGATCCTGGAATAGTTTACTTCTTATTCCTTTTGATTCCTTATTCACCTTTTATTATCCCTTCTGGTTGTGAGATCCACAAGAAATATAGTTCAAAGCTTAGTTGAAGATAGGCTCGGGACTGTGGGAATGTGGCAAATAGGGAGCCAAAGAGAGGTTTCTGAAAGTAGAGAAATCACTATTGTACTGTTTTCCCAAGGTTTCCCAGAGGTAAACATTCGGGTTCCATTTCCTGCTCCTTATAAACCCTTTATTTGGCACCAGACCTGAGCCTGAGCCTTGCTTTGGCTGCTTATTGCCAGTGTGGCCTTAGGCAAGATTTAGTCTCTGAATTTAACTATCCTCTATCTCCTTTAACTGCCTAATAATATGTACTTCATAGGGTTATTGGAAATATTAAATGAAGTAGTAGCACATTAAGTGCCTGGTACTTATGCATTTAATACTTGTTAGTTCATTTTCTTGCTCAGCTATTACAGTAGACCTGCATGCCTCTTTGACTGGTTAAGTGGGTCAGAAGCATATCCTTGTGGGTAGATTAAAACAATCAACTTTTACTTGATCTCTTTTAAACCAGTCTGAAAAAAAATTTTTAAAGATGCCTCCCATGTTTCTCACCTTTACAATTACACCTCATGCTAGTTCTCTCAGTAAGTGTAAGAAATAACTTTCTAATTTGATAGGCCATAATTTTAATTTAATTCAGGTGATGAATTTCAAAATGAAAGTTATATGCAATTTTAGTAAGTGCATATTAACCATAGTGCTAAAGTAATTTGTTTGATGAAAATTGCTTAAAGGTATGGTTCTAAGAGTGTTTCACAATAGATGACTGCCAGTGAGACAGTCCTTTTTCTGGGAAGAAGAGAACTCAGCATTGCCCCTGCCATTTACTGGCTATGTTCATTATTGGCTGTTTTGGGCAAGTTTCTTAACCTCTCTGGACCTCAGTTTCCTTATCTGTAAAATGGGAATTATAGTAGTTCTGATTCATAGGGTTTTTATGAACTAAATGAGGTCACTATATGTACAGCTTTTAGAACAGCGTGTGGCCCATTTAATTGTTCAATACTTGATCGCCATTATAAAATAGCCTAAAACTATGTAGTCTGCCTTACCTGACAACTTCATTCTACTTGTTAGGTTATACACTCTTACACTGTGCTGCAGCCTGGGGTCGTTTGGAAACTTTGAAAGCACTAGTAGAATTGGATGTTGATATAGAAGCTTTAAATTTCCGAGAAGAAAGAGCTCGAGATGTTGCTGCTCGGTATTCTCAGACTGAATGTGTTGAATTCCTGGATTGGGCAGGTAAGGAACTCACAGGATATTAGCAAACTGATTGATGTGATGGACTTTCCTCTCAAGAGTTATAGGCTATGTCTTTATAACCACTATTATGTTGCTTTTGAAAATTTATGAAATCTACCTTTTTTTTTCCTTGTGATTTTGTTACTGGCATAAGACATTGTACTTAATAGAAAGTACTTAATATCAGAAACTGATTTACCAACTTTTGACAATTTTGCCAATAATTTTCTATAAGAATGTATGTATATTGTTCAAACTGTCTTCTGAGAGACCTCGGCAGGTGGACCATTCCTTCAATGTTTAAAGAAATAGTATATTTGAGTAATATGTTTGATTTCCAAGGTAGAAACAGTTGTAATAATTCAACTTTGCCTGGCAAATCATTTTTATCTATGGTGTTAGAATAGCAATTACTTTATACCATGAGGGGTACTACTGGGATATGGTGTTCTTTCAATCTGGTTACCTGGTGTGCTCAGGTAAAATTGTGAAAATTCATTGAGCTTTACATTTATAATTTTTGCACATTTCTGTATATATGTTATGCTTCAGAGGGCAAAAAATTTGATGCTACTGTTGAATTTTACTGATATTGTACTTACATCAACTCTATAGCCCTGTAGAATATAGCTTAAAAGAGATTTCAGGAAGATACACTTGTAACTACACATGTGTACAGACATTATTTAAAAACTAGTGTTTATGACGTTCACAGCATTCATTTTACAATATTATCTGCATTTGTTTTTAGCAAGCATTTATTGAATGTCCACTATGAATATAGCTGTTTTGTGGGGACAATTGGTTGTTCCTGCCATCTGGACCTTGGTTAAGTGGGGGATGATAAGCTACACACACATATAGGCTTAAATTATTATGTCAGAATATGCATGATTAAGGGTTGATGTGGCAGAACAAGAGGTCAGAGAACATAATGTCAGAGAAGCTGCAATTGGGCTGGGTATTGGAGAATGAGTGGGGTTTGAAAACACAATAGAAGGAGGAAGGGTGTGGGCAAAAATCCTGGAGCTGGGAGTGAAAGTGGCATGTTGGGGGGCAGGGATGAGAGCATCTGACTGGAACAATGAGTCAGATTGCACAAATAGGCTACAGCAGAAGGGGAATAATGAGAGAGTAAGTACACAGGTTCTTGCAGTGGGTTGCTTGAGTGTAAATACTGGTATTTCCACTTGAAACCCATGTGACTTTGGATAAGGTACTTAAATTCTTTTTTTTTAAATTAAAGTAACACTGATTTATAAAATTATATAAGTTTCATATATATATGTATATAGACCTATCTAGATATATATTTTATATTAGGTACTTAAATTTAAAAGTTTTACTTAAATTTTTTGTATTTAAGTTTCATTTTCTAGAAGAGGGGCCAGTAGTAGTTCCCACTTTGGGGGGCGGGGTGGTGAGGTTGTGAGAATTAAATGAGATAATGTAAAGCATTTAGCTCATACCTGGCTTGTGGTCAGCACTTCAGTCATGCTGCTACTGTCATTGCAGTCAGAGTATGACTTCAAATGCCAGGCTAAGTATTTTCATTTCAGTTCTGTAGCCACTGAAAGGTTTTATGTAGAGGAGGAAGAGGATTAAAGCAATGTTTTAAGATTTGTGTGGTAGCAATAAAGAGCTTGCTTATCAGTAAAATGAGAAAGGAACTGGGAGAATTAATAGAAATAAGGAAAAAAACTTCAGGAAGAAAAATCTATGCTTTGTAGATTATAGGTAATTGTCCATTTGTACTAAATGTTTTCTGGAGGCAGTGTTTCTTTCAATACCTTCAATTTTCTGATTATAAGCAAAAGGAAAACAGCAAAGAATTGAACTTAAAGACATGAATTTAAAATCTACTTTAAAGGGTGACCCATGCTACTTAAAAACCACATCCAGGGACAAATTTTGCTGTAACTTTTCTGAAAGAAACAGTTTAGGGATCATAGGTGGTGAGTTTCATTGGTTTCCTTCTCTGTAAAACCCATCTGTTTAGGCCCTTACATTCCTAGAGGAATTACACCCAGCATTTTCTAATGATGAAGATAAGACTCTAAAAAGCAGATAAGTATTTTGTTTCCAGATCAATGATGTAATTATAAGGATTGGAGCTTCTTGTTGATGTTGTATGTGGAATGTCAGAAAAACAAACTGCTCAACATTGAATGTGATTGTAAAGTAACCAACCCATTCCGGGCAGGTTTGTGAACGGTTCTAGCAGCCACATGCTCTTCGCTGTTGTTTGTAGTCGCCATTCTCCTCTGTATACTCCACTCCTCCACCCTCCACACCGCACTCTGCTGCACCACCCTTATAAATCAGTCTCTTAGCTCAGGTGTACCCACCTATGCATGCCCACACCCTACTCCAGGTGCCCGCCATTAGGCATGCACTTAGGACTGCAGGGTTCCGTCATCCATCCTAATGGCGGGAGGGCAGAAAAGCCTGATACCCTTTACCTTACCCTACAGTGACCTTTGTTTAATTCAGATTTACTAAGGCTATACATCACATCCACTCTTCCTAGTGATTGAATCTCTTGGAGAGATTTATACATGGAGGTCTCCCTACCCCAAAGAGGTGCTTGCATGCTGCTGAAAATTCTACCATGAGATATTAATTTTGGGGGGTTACAGAGGCTTGGAGAATTTTAAAAAAGTTTTCAAGAGTTCTCAATTAAAAGAAGTGTGTGTGCATGTGTGTGATCGACAGTTCAGAACTATGAGGACTAGAACAAACATTTATGGAAATGTGGGAGTAGGGCTGTGCTAAGGAGGTGTGAAGGAAGGAGACGACCCCGGGAAATGGAATCATAAATTTTTAATAATCCACAGTAATGTAAGGTAGGCACCTTCTTTACCTTTGCTGTTGTAAGGACTGCTTTTTAAGTGTTTTTCCCTCTTTTATACTGATGGGAGGTTTTATTATAGATCTGGCCTTTTTTTTTTTTTTAATTTTTCAACTTATTTTTAATAGTCCCAGTTTATAACTAGCCTCCCAGTTTTTGTTAGGAAAATATAGTAACCATACTTAAAAAAAAAAAAGAGATGGTTGATAAACAAAAATTGACTCAGTTTACAAAATTGAAATGTCTTATCAACAGAAGTTTGAAATTTCAAAAATATTGATGCTTCTTTATTATATTAAAATGGAAACATTTGTACTTAAAAAATTAATTTAACTGCCCAGCTACAAAGGAATGGATTCAGATGCAGTGTATATACATGACAGAATACTATTCAGGTATAAAATAGATAACTCTTGAAATTTGGGATAACGTAGATGAAACTGAAGGGGATTATGCTAAGTGAAATAAGTCAGGAGAAAGACAAATACAAATGATTTCATTCATATGTAGAATATAGAAAACAAAACAAAGGAACTGACAAAACTAAACCAAATCAAACTCTAGAAATACGACTGCAGTCTAGTGGAGGGTGAAGAGATGATGTGTGGGGGGGGGAACAAAATGGAAGGGGGCCCAGTGATCTAGGGTAAATGACTGAATGCTTTGGTAGCTGAGGAGGTATGAACTTATTCCCCTAAATCATACACCAAATTGTAAAATAATAAATAATTTATTTCTTAATGTTTCCATATTATTTTAGCAATCTGAGATGGGAAACTAAAGTCTCCTTATAGCTATATAATTTGCATAGGAAAATAAGAAAAAGAGAAAAATATTATTTAAATCACAGATTTATTGACACATTAAGTCATAATTCTGTTCTACAAATTGGTTAATCTAACACTTTAAAAATACTTAAACATGAAGCAGTGATAGTATATAACCTTTCCCCAGTATTTAATAAGTATGGATGCCTTTCTAGCTGAATGGAAATAATTTTTCAACCCAGAATTCTTTGGAAAGTTTCAATAAAGAACGCGGCAAAAAATTACAAAGGCCTCCAAAGGACCATTTTTATCCTTACTTCAGTTCTCTCAGTAGATTTCTTTTGTCCGATAGATTTCTCAGTCCATGTTGGACTGAGCTATGTTTACATGTGAGGTCTGTTATCTTCTGGCTCCTCCTCTTCCTTAACTCTTCGTCCTCTTAATTTGTGATGCTTGGCTTTCTTAGCTGGAGGATTCTGGGACATTTGGTTCAGGTACTTGGTCATCATTGATGTTGTGGCCACCAATTTACAGAGTATTTGGTCAATATCATAAGCAGGCTGGCTTTCTGGAGCATTACCAGATACCTCTACGGCGGCTTGTTTTTTAAGCTAAAAGGAGGAAAACAAATGGGGTTACAGGTTTTTTTTCTTGCCATAGCTCAAATGAAATTTGTTTCCTGATATATATATATCAAGTGCCACATAGTGGTCCTTATTTTTAGTCTAGGTGTGTATTAGTTGTTCACATAACCATTAAATCATCTAAAAATGCATTTCTTAGACCATACCCCTGTCATTAACTGACACACAAATTTATACTTAAATTTCAAACACTACACATTACTTACTCTACCAAAGTTTACTAAAGAAGAAAGATAATGGTATAGAAGCAATGCTCTTTCCAGCCGCCCTGGTGGCCAGCCTAGGGTTTAAGTCTCTAAGCTATCACCACTATGATCTGAGTTCAATCCCCGGCCAGGGACCTAACCCACTTGGCACAGCAGACCTCTCCTGTTTTGCCCGCTGCTCCCCTCAGCAGTGTATTTAAGTAGATCTGCCTGTTCTGCTCCCCACTCTGTTTCTGATGAACCCTCTCACCTCCCCCGCCCCCCACCTCTGGCCCACATCCTAGTTCTTTTTTTTTTTTTCACCACTGCTTTTCAATATAATACTGGAAGTCCTAGCCAGAGCAATAAGACAAGAGAAAGACATCCAAGGAATCCAAATAGGAAAAGAAGAAGTCAAACTATCACTATTTGCAGATGATATGATAATATACATAGAGAACCCCAAAATCTCCACAGAAAAACTAATTCAACTCATCAATCAATTCAGTAAAGTGGCAGGATACAAAATCAACACGCAAAAGTCAGTAGCCTTCCTATACACAAACAATAAATCTGAAGAAGAAGAAATCAAAAAAAACACCCCTTTTATTATCGAAACAAAAAAATCAAATATTTGGGAATAAATCTAACAAAAGAGGTAAAGGACCTATACAAAGAAAACTATAAAACACTGTTAAAAGAAATAGAAGAAGACACAAAGAAATGGAAAGACATCCCCTGCTCATGGATTGGAAGAATAAACATTATTAAAATGGCCATCCTACCAAAAGCAATATACAGATTCAATGCTATTCCAATCAAAATCTCAATGGCATTCTTCAAAGAAATAGAACAATTATTGATGAAATTCATATGGAATCACCAAAAACCCCGAATAGCCAAAGCTCTCCTGAAAAAAAAAGAAGGAAATGGAGGCATCACACTCCCAGACTTCAAACTATACTACAAAGCCATAATCATCAAAACTGCATGGTATTGGAACAAGAACAGACATACAGACCAATGGAATCGAATAGAAAATCCAGAAATAAACCCACAGATTCATGGTCAACTAATCTTTGACAAAGGAGCAAAGACTATGCATTGGAGCAAAGAAAGTTTGTTCAATAAATGGTGCTGGGAAAACTGGGTCGCTACATGCAAAAGAATGAAGCTTGACCACTACCTCACACCATACACAAAAATCAACTCAAAATGGATTAAAGAACTAGACATAAGACCTGAAACCATAAAATACATAGAAGGAAATATAGGCGAAACACTACGGGATTTGCACATCAAAGACATCTTTACAGACACATCACCCAAAGCAGTGATAGTGAAGACAAAGATAAACAGCTGGGACTACATCAAATTAAAGAGCTTCTGCACAGCAAAAGAGACAATAACAAAAACAAAGAGAAACCCCACCAACTGGGAGAACATTTTTGCACCCAACACTAATGATAAAGGACTGATCACAAAAATCTGCAAAGAGCTGATGAGACTTAGCAACAACAAAGAAAATAATCCAGTCAAAAAATGGGCAGAAGAGCTAAAAAGAAACTTCTCTGAAGAGGAAATGCAAATGGCCAACAGGCATATGAAAAAATGTTCAACATCACTTGTAATCAGGGAAATGCAAATCAAAACTACCATGAGATACCATCTCACACCAGTGAGAATGGCACATATTAAAAAAACTAGCAACAACAAATGTTGGCGAGGGTGTGGAGAAAAAGGAACTCTTCTGCACTGTTGGTGGGAGTGCAAACTGGTCCAACCACTATGGAGAGCTGTGTGGAGATTTCTGGACCTACTAAACATAGAGCTTCCATATGATCCAGCAATTCCACTCCTAGGTATTTACCCAAAGGACACAGAAACATCAATTCCAAAGAGCACCTGCACTCCTATGTTTATAGCAGCACTGTTTACAATAGCTAAGCTTTGGAAACAACCCAAATGCCCAAAAATAGATGACTGGATCAAGAAGATGTGGTACATATATACCATGGAATATTACTCAGCATTCAAAAAAGATAAACACATGCAATTTGCAGCAACATGGATGGCGCTGGAAGGGATCATGCTCAGCGAAATAAGCCAAAAAGAAAAAGAAAAATACCGGATGGTCTCACTCATAGCAGGAATCTAGAAAACTTAAATAAGGGACCAGGAAAATGAATATAAGAAAGTGAAAATCAAAATCAACAAAAAACTATGAACCAGAGACACTTTTTGGGGGGTGGGGGGCGGGAGGGGAAGGATTGGGGTCAGAATGGGCGTTTGCAATTGTATGGGGAATATAATAATAAAATTTAATATTTAAAAAAAAAAAAAGATTTATTTATACATATAAAAACTTGGATACAGGCCTGAGGTGTGTGGGGGTGAGAGGATTCACCAGACACACCGTGGGAAACAGAACAGGCAGATTGACTGAAATACACTGCTGAAGGGAGCAGCGGGCGAGACAGGAGAGGTCTGCTGTACCATGCTGTACCAGGTCCCTGGCCTGGGATTGAACTCCTGCTCCAGTGGCTGCGATAGCTTCCTAGTGCTGCATCTTAACCCCTTGCACCACCAGGGAAGCCCGCCAGTTCTTCTACAAAAGAAAAAAAAAAAACAAATGCTCTTTTGTATATGCGCCCATATAAGATTTTAGTGATCAATATTGTCAAGAAATATTTAAGTGATTTTTATGGTCAGCACATTCTGCTAGGAAAAATTCTTTGAAAATTAGCAAAACATTTTCCTTTATGTATAATTTTCTTCAGTGTATAATGCAATAAAATCATAGTCCTTTTATAAATACCCAGTTGTGAAGGTCAATGAGATTGTTCTTGTTAATGAGCTTTTAAGATTGCCTCCAAAATATGGCGTCATCTATTGGCAAGGTGGGCAATTAGTTCAATACTGCAATTTTCTAGAAAGTTATCCTAGGAAATTAATTTAAAATCCATTAAAAAATAATACATGCCAAATTCTGTATACTTAACTTTCCTAGATAGAGCTTGAAGGGATCTAAGAGATCTCTTACTCCAGATCCTTCATTTTATGAAGTGGCTGAGCAAGATCAAGTGACTTACCTAACAGCCCAGACAGTCGACGTCATTTCCTATATATTCTACACATAGCTTACTACTTTCTCAGTGTGTTCTGTGGACTAGCATAGAGGGATTGGACTGTATTATTTGTAAGGCCCTTATAATTCAATACATATTTGTTGAGCACCTCCTATGTGTAAGATAGCATGGTAGGTGAGGGAATAGTGGGGAGAGTGGTGAGGGTGGGGAGAAAAGGTACAAAGAGGATTAAGACAGTACTTTCCCTCAAAAAACCTGATAATATTGTGTTTAAAACCCTTTAGCTATTACTATTTGTATCACCAATTCACCTTTTTTTGGTGTTTCTTCCATTTCATCCACAGGTAATGTGCAGATAAAACAGACAGGATTAAAAAGAGAGCTTGTACTAAAATATAAATGATATTTAAACAACTGTGAAATATATCCATATTAGCAAAATTGCAGCATAGTTTGTCCAGAGGGTAAGGTAGACAGTGAGATGGAGAAGGCTTAACTTTGAGATAATGCATTTCTTCTGGAAAAATCTCCCATCCAACCTTTGTCCAGATAGTTCCATCACAGATGCAGAAGCTCTCCCTGAAGAAGCACATAAACAATAGAGAAAAAATCAGGGATATTCCTTGAATGGACATCTTTCTTTCTCCATTAGAAAAAAAAAATCTATAACCAAAAAATTTGTTAGAGACAGGGTAGAAGTGCCCTGAAGTATTTAACGTACTCTAACTAGTGATCAAGATATAGCCGGTAAAACACATACTGATGGTCACTGTGATATCATCAGTCATAGTGATTCAGGGATAAATTCGGTGACATCATAAAGAACTACAGTAGAAAGTTGTCACCTTGCCAATCACCTTGGATTTCTTAGGAATTCTCTTCCTTCCTTGTCTGAATTATTTGTACTTCTTCAGTTTCTGAAAGATAAAGATTTACTCATATTTTGCTAGCTAATAAATTCAAATTTTAATCATATTAATAGGATTTAAATAGGAAACAATTTACTTATATCCCTTCCAACCCTTCTGAAGTATGGAAGTTTTATATTTATTTAAAAAGTAACTCCAGCTTTTCAATATAATACTGGAAGTCCTAGCCAGAGCAATAAGACAAGAGAAAGACATACAAGGAATCCAAATAGGAAAAGAAGAAGTCAAACTATCACTATTTGCAGATGATATGATAATATACATAGAGAACCCCAAAAACTCCACAGAAAAACTAATTCAACTCATCAATCAGTACAGCAAAGTGGCAGGATACAAAATCAACATGCAAAAGTCAGAAGCCTTCCTATACACTAACAATAAATCTGAAGAAGAAGAAATGAAAAAAACCATCCCCTTTATTATTGAAACAAAAAAAATCAAATACTTGGGAATAAATCTAACAAAAGAGGTAAAGGACCTATACAAAGAAAACTATAAAACACTGTTAAAAGAAATAGAAGAAGACACAAAGAAATGGAAAGACATCCCCTGCTCATGGATTGGAAGAATAAACATTATTAAAATGGCCATCCTACCAAAAGCAATATACCGATTCAATGCTATTCCAATCAAAATCTCAATGGCATTCTTCAAAGAAATAGAGCAATTATTGATGAAATTCATATGGAATCACCAAAAACCCCGAATAGCCAAAGCTCTCCTGAAAAAAAAAGAAGGGAATGGAGGCATCACACTCCCAGATTTCAGGCTATACTACAAAGCCATAATCATCAAAACTGCATGGTATTGGAACAAGAACAGACATACAGACCAATGGAATCGAATAGAAAATCCAGAAATAAACCCACAGATTTATGGTCAACTAATCTTTGACAAAGGAGCAAAGAATATGCATTGGAGCAAAGAAAGTCTGTTCAATAAATGGTGCTGGGAAAACTGGGTCGCTACATGCAAAAGAATGAAGCTTGACTACTACCTCACACCATACACAAAAACCAACTCAAAATGGATTAAAGAACTAGACATAAAACCTGAAACCATAAAATACATAGAAGGAAATATAGGCGAAACACTACGTGATTTGCACATCAAAGACATCTTTACAGACACATCACCCAAAGCAGTGATAGTGAAGGCAAAGATAAACAGCTGGGACTACATCAAATTAAAGAGCTTCTGCACAGCAAAAGAGACAATAACAAAAACAAAGAGAAACCCCACCAACTGGGAGAACATTTTTGCACACAACACTAATGATAAAGGATTGATCACAAAAATCTGCAAAGAGCTGATGAGACTCAACAACAGCAAAGAAAATAATCCAGTCAAAAAATGGGCAGAAGAGCTAAAAAGATACTTCTCTGAAGAGGAAATGCAAATGGCCAACAGACATATGAAAAAATGTTCAACATCACTTGTAATCAGGGAAATGCAAATCAAAACTACCATGAGAAACCATCTTACACCAGTGAGAATGGCACATATTAAAAAAACTAGCAACAACAAATGCTGGCGAGGGTGTGGAGAAAAAGGAACTCTTCTGCACTGTTGGTGGGAGTGCAAACTGGTCCAACCACTATGGAGAGCTGTGTGGAGATTTCTGGACCTACTAAACATAGAGCTTCCATATGATCCAGCAATTCCACTCCTAGGTATTTACCCAAAGGACACAGAAACATCAATTCCAAAGAGCACCTGCACCCCTATGTTTATAGCAGCACTATTTACAATAGCTAAGCTTTGGAAACAGCCCAAATGCCCAAAAACAGATGACTGGATCAAGAAGATGTGGTACATATATACCATGGAATATTACTCAGCATTCAAAAAAGATAAACACATGCAATTTGCAGCAACATGGATGGCACTGGAAGGGATCATGCTCAGCGAAATAAGCCAGAAAGAAAAAGAAAAATACCGGATGGTCTCACTCATAGCAGGAATCTAGAAAACTTAAATAAGGGACCAGGAAAATGAATAACTATAAGAAAGTGAAAATCAAAATCAACAAAAATCTATGAACCAGAGACACTTTTGGAGGGGTGGGTGGAGGGAGGGGAGGGATTGGGGTCAAAATGGGGGGGTTGAAATTGTATGGGGAATATAAAAATAAAATTTATTATTTAAAAAAAAAAATAAAAGCCAGCTACTATTAGACTCTACACAGTATTGTCTGTGCAAGTAACAGTAAAGTTGTGCAAAGACAAACCAAAATAAATATTACAGTCTACATAGAGAATAACAAAAAAAAAAAAAGTAACTCCAGTTATACTATTTCATATAACCTAGCCCCTGCTTCCCCGCCCCCCCCTTCACTTGCACTCTGAAACATCCTTCCCTTCAAATGTCAAACACAAATTGAGTGCCTTCCTCTTCTTACTTCTGTGGCTTTGGTGCCAATGTGGTATGGTAGGTAGTAGGTGAGGATGGGGAACTTGGCATGGTGCGTGACGAAAGATGAGATGGTGAGGAGTCATGGTATATGATGGAGAGATGAGACATAGATCCTGCCTCTGAGGAGCTGATGATCTAAAGGTAGAAGCAAAAAATAAGAATAAAAATTGAAAGGTACACTAAAATAAAAGCTAAATCAAATTATACTTATGTAACAGTTGATAGAGCAATCAATTCTACCTAGGGAAACTAGGAGTTTCATGGAAGAATATTTGAGTAAGCTCTGATGAGTGATCAGGCTTTTGGCGAGTGTCAATGAAGAGGGCACCTGAGGTTGAAGAAACTGTAGGAAATTCTGTGTAAATATTCATGCAACAAATATTTATTGAACACCTCTTATGTACTAAATATTGTACTAAGAGCTGAACATACATACAAAATGAGGTACAAAACAGAATATTTATGCTTATGGAGTTCATTTTCTAGTAGGGAGATACAAAAAATAATATCTATCTAAATCTATGTAGCTATATTATGCCATGGAGAAAAATAGAGTGGTAGGTAGTTATTAAGTTGGTAGCAAGTGTGCTACTTATAGAAGGCAGTTAAGAAAGGCCTATCTGATAAGGTGATGCTTGAGCATAGAACTGTGGAACTGGTTGACATCTGAGGGTGGGGGGAACAGGAAGTACATAATGGATAGAGTGGTTGAATATTGGAAGGGATAAAACTGGAATGTTAGTTTGTTTTTTTGTTTTTTTTTTTTTAAGATTGATTTATTTTTATACGAGAGCTGGGGTACAGGCCAGAGGCACGGGAGGGTTAGAGGATTCACCAGAAACAGAGTGGGGAGAAGAACAGGCAGACAACATAAATGCACTGTTGAGGGGAACAGCTGGCGCGACAGGAGAGGTCTGCGGCACCATGTGGGATTCTCACCGGCCGGAATCGTACCCGCACTGCCGAGGCTGCCGTCAGCTTCATAGCACGGTGCTCAACATGCTGCGCCACTGGGGAGGCCCCCATTAGTTTATATTTAGATGGATCTTGAAGACCCTGTATTTTATTCCATGGTCAACAGGGAGTCATGATACAATAATAAACTCATTGAGTGTTCTTCTGTGTGCCAGGCACACAGTACCTTTGCTAAATATGCTAAGATATTTGTACACATTATATTACATTTTACTTAATCCTTGAAAAAACACTACCAGAACTCTATGCTACTTTCATTTTATAGATGGAGAAACTTAGAAGGATTAAGACATTGCTGTGATCTGAATATTTGTGACCTTCCAAATTCATATGTTGAAATCCAACTGCTTAATAGATTTTTTTGAGGTACATGAAGTTTGAACCCTCATGAATGGGATTAGTGTTTTTATAAATGAAGACCCATAAGGCTCCCAAGCCCCTTCTACCATAGAAGGATACAGTGGGACCTGCTAATGTTATAGGGCAAAGGAATATCACAGATATGATTAAATTTAGGATCTTGAAATTTTGTGATTATTGATGTGGACCCTAAATAAATCACATGTCCTTATAAGAGATAAGCAGAGGGATTTTTTTTTTAAAGATTTGTTTTTATTTATTTATTTATACAAGCACTGGGTACAGTCAGAAGCGCGGGAGGGTGAGAGAATTCACCAGAGCCAGAGCGGGGAGCAGAACAGGCAGAAGGACTGAAGTACACTGCTGAGGGGAGCAGAGGGCGGCAGGAGAGGTCTGCGCGCCATGCGGGACCCTCCTCCAGTGGCTGGGGAGCAGCCGGGGATTGAACTGGCGCTGTAGAGGCTGCGGGCAGCTTCGCAACCCAGCGCTCAACCGCTGTGCCACCAGGGAGGCCCAAGCAGAGGGATATTTGATGCAGAAGAAAAGAAGGTGTATTGATACTGGAAGCAGAGGATTGGGTTGATGCACTTTGAAGGTGCTGGGAAGGCTATAAGCTGAGGAATATAGACAGTCAAGGAACTGGTTTTCCTTTAGAGACTCCAAAAGGAATCAACCCTGCCAATGCCTGAGTTTAGTTCAGTGAAACCATCTTTGGACTATAACTGCAAAAGAATACATTAGTGGTGTTTTAAGTCATGAAGTTTATCGTAATTTGTTATAGCAGTTGTAGGAAACTAGCACAAATTTTGAAATCTGAAAGCAAAGCGTGACTGTAACAATTACCTAAAAATGTGTAAGTGGCTTTGGGATTGGATAATGTATAAATGGGAGAATTTTGAGGTGCATGATAGGTAAAGCCTAGATTGCCTTGAGGACTATTGATAGAAGTGCCAACATTAAAGATAGTGCTGGTGAGGGGTTAGAAGGAAATGAGGAGCATGGTAGCAAAAGACTACATGGTGTTAAAGTGCACTTAAATCATCATAAACAGAATGTTGGCAGAAATCAGAACCA